TCGCAGTTTACTGTTCATTTTGCTTGCTTCTACGGTCACCCCTGCCTTAACTCCTAGGCTGATTCAGAAGTTCTCAAAGGCATCATACGTATATGCCATGCTAAAGAGAGGAGATCGATGTGAAGGTGAAACCAGTCGCAAACCGCGTTCAAGTTCGAACATCAAAGAAGTCAGCCAAAGCACAAGCTATTGCGCAGGTCAGTAAAAGATCTATCCAGCTGCATAATAACAGTTCGCCATATTCAAGGACTGTGGAAAATAATCAGGTAGCTGTTCACGTACGGCTGTTCCGTAGTGAGAGTGGGAGAGACGAATGCAGATGACCGTCATGTGTACCCTGCCTATATCACCGCGTCTGCGCTGGGATCTCACGTTACAAAATGTCGATGCAGATGGTACCTCAATCAGCAGTTATCGCCTCACGTCAAAGGTTCCAGTTGGACTACAACTCGAGGACTCATGCTTACGGGTTTAATGCGGAGTCGTGTTAAGCACGCTGTTTTTCTAGCGCTTACTGTCCAGCCAGCCCTGGGGCGAGCATCAAACTAATTGTCAGCACGTATAGCAATCCAAGCCCAAGCGCCCATGCCGTAATAACAGCTGTCGTATGTGCCTCCTGCATCCAGCATACGGCACCCCAACAAGCCGAGCGATCGGGCACAATCTTTAGGGCCGCATACATGATCATCCAAACCAACGAATTCCCACGATATTCCAGTCGAAAAGGGCAGATGCTTATCATGCGTCTGTTATGCATCAGCATGCAGCAAAACAACCATGGCCTTTCGTTGCGAAATAGGAACGAACTTGAATCCAGAAAAACCGACCAACATGCCATTAACCACGCAATCACGTTAATATGGGTTGAGGAGGGTTAACGAGTGCACTCTGCGCCGTTCACACAGCCAGCCATTCCCTTCTTCCCCACCCCACCACCAACCATACCGTTGCACGCCCTGTCTCGTTTCTAGCTCCCCACCAGCCTCATCTGCCCATCAATCTCACGACCCAGCCGCCCCTCATCCTCGCACGCAGCCCCCCTCAACCTTGCGCGACTCGCAGCCA